AAACTACGTTAATGTGTTATGTTCACGAAATAATTGAATTTTTAAGTTCGAGAAGCAGAATTATATCACTCATAGTTGGCTTCAGTTGAATTTTTAGGTTTGCTTGCGTAGTCCAAATGTAAAACACATTTTGTTTTTTGATAGTTGGCAATTCAGCTGTCAATCAGTAAAAAAAAGGTTTTTTATCGGTTTCGTAGTTTTCGTTTGGCGTTTTGGTCCAAATGAACATTTTCGTCATATTTTGCTTTTTTATTTTCGTAAAGGGAAAAACGCATCGCAAGCTCACAAAAAGTTATGTGCTGTTTATGGCGACGAAGCCATAAAAGAACGGCAGTATCAAAATTGGTTTGTCAAATTTCGTTCTGGTGATTTTTCACTCAAAGATCAAAAACGCTCTGGTCATCCAGTTGAAGTTGATGACGACCTAATCAAAGCAATAATCGATTCAGATCGTCACAGTACAGCACGTGAGATTGCAGAGAAGCTTCAGGTATCATATACATGCATTGAAAATCACTTAAAACAACTTGGCTATGTTCAAAATGTAATGAAAATGATCCAATTTTAAAACGAATGATAACTGGTGATGAAAAATGGGTTGTTTACAACAATATCGAGCGGATAAGATCGTGGAGCAGGCCAGGTGAACCAGCTCAAACAACATTAAAAGCTGGTGTTCATCAAAAGAAGGTTTTGTTATCAGTTTGGTGGGATTATAAAGGAATTGTCTACTTTGAACTCTTACCACCCAACCGAACGATCACTTCTGTTGTCTACATTGAACAACTACCGAAATTAAACAATGCAGTTGAAGAAAAGCGGCCCGAATTGATAAATCGAAAAGGTTTTGTATTCCATCATGACAATGCAAGGCCACACACATCTTTGGTCACTCGGCAAAAATTGTTGGAGCTTGGTTGGGATGTTTTGCCACATCCACCATATAGTCCTGACCTTGTACCATCGGATTACTTTTTGTTTCGATCTTTGTAAAACTCCTTGAATGGTAAAAACTTCAATAATGATGATGATGTCAACTCGTACCTGATTCAGTTTTTTCCTAATAAAAACCAGAAGTTTTATAAACGTGTGATTATGATGCTGCCTGAAAGATGGCAAAAGGTCATTGATCAAAATGGGCAATACATTACAGAATTATGTTATTTAGTTCCATGAAAAAATTGTCTTTAATTTTTTTTAAATACGCAATTACTTAGTTGCCAACCAATATTTCATGGAGTTGCTGCATTTTATTGGATAATAGTCAATCAATCAGTTTATCAATGTATAGCTATTTATTTATAATAAGGTCCCTATTACAGTTTTCAAACTCAGCTGCATTTTGTTTGAAGTTTTGAAATTCCGTATAAAACTCTTTTAGTCAATTATTATATTATGTACAAATCCATAGAAAGGTGAATATTTTGTTGAGTTCGTGGAGTAAAATCTCGAAACTGTACGAGACGAACTACAATTTGGAAACAATAAAATAAAAAGACCGTGGTAAGTGTTTCGAATATAAAGAGTCGATACAATTTACTACTCCTAGAAATATACTTTTTGAGTAAAATTAAACTTTTGAAGCGTTTTGGTGCTCTTCAGTCATTGGTGTCTTATCCACAGCGCACAAATATAGAGTTCATAATATTTAAAAGTAGGTTTTGTAACAACCATAGATTCGTAGGTTGCTTCAGCACAAAGTTAAAGTCATTTAATGAATTTTATGATAACTACCGGCAGCAAGGAAATGGAGAGTTTGTGCTAACATTCCTTCATCACATATCGTAAAAAAACCTAAATGATTCCTCATTTAAACGAAAATAACTTATAAATATGCAATAAACATTATTTAAAGCCATTTAATCGTCCGTAAATCTTTGGCTTATTTGGTGTTAGGAAGTTCGAATGGATTTGAGAGATCGCGCAGCCCTTTTTACAGCACAACAGTTTTGGCCCCAACATTTTTATCATCGAAAACTAAATCAAAACTAATGTTCATTTCAATAATTATTCATCTTTTCGTGAGCAATATAAATTAATTTATTTTGAATTTTCGTTAAAAAAATTTCAGCGGTTTTATTATATATATGTCAAATCTTCATTTTCTGGGTTAGCAAAAGCAATCAAACTTCGGCAGAAAATAGTTGAAGAACGTAATACCAAAAAAAGGTTGTGTTGAACTGCAGTTGAATTGCTTGCACTTCAATTCAACCGAGTGGAGTTGAAAACCGTAATAGGTGTATAAATGTCGGTGTTCACTTATTTTAAATATAAGTTCTTCGCTCTTCAAACTAAAAATTATTATGAAAATTTCGCTTATTGCTTTGAGTTGAATGATATCCATTTACGTATAAAAAAGTTTGAAATTTTAACACAAACACTAAATTGAACTTGCGTGTTTACCACATATAATTGAGCACCGTGTGTATCGGTGCCATTAGCGATGTGTCGATGTGTGAACACGCAAATTCCGACGTTGAGCAACTTGGTAATTTTAATTTAATTTATTGTAACATAAAAACTTGAAAAAAGCGAAGGCAATTTTCTGCACCCTAATTTCTTGCTCTCAGTTAATGTCCGCTACTCTAACTGCCTTAATTTAACTAAATTAATTTCGCTATCGTTAATATATAAACGCCTTATGTAAGCCTAGTTCATGTAGTTCTCCATATCCCCAGGAATTTCTTTAACACTCACAATTAAACTGGCTGCAACTCACCCCCTGCATCGTTCACTTTCACTTTGCATATCGATTTGCTGGTTTCTGTCGACAAACGCTGCAGGCGACTACAAATAAAAGTTGAACAAACTGAACTTTAATAGAAAAAATAAACGGCAGACGTGAGAGAAAACTTTGTTGGCTGCTGCCGTTGATTGACAAATTTGCGGTTTTTTGCTTGCTTCGTGTAACACAAACACACTGCTTCACTTGGTTGCTTCCTGCCACAGACAATATATTTATATAGTTTTATTATTGTTATCGTATTTCGCTCCCTACACTTGGGGAACATGTGCTCTTGTCGCCTATTTCCAACTGGCAAAGCACACAAATACACACACGTCAATAACAGTATTTCTATGCAATCACGCTTAGCTAGGGCTTTGATTGATGGCTCAACCGCGTCTGATTGGTTGCTCGGTCAATTTGTCGTCTCGTCCGGTGCTCACTGCAACCACACACCTTACAAAGAAAAGGATTCGTTCATGGTTGCTGAAAAAATTTATGTTTGTGACGATTTGCATGGACAACAACGGGGACATGTAAGCGTTTGTGTACATACCACAATAACACACTACTACGAAAATCGAATCTGCTACACTAGAGGGCGAAGCAATCGAGCATACTTTCAGGCGTGCACAGTTTATATCACTCGTACGCCCGGCATAACCACGTTGTAAACACAGAAATGTGTAAATTGTGGCCAATTGCAATTTATTTCCCATTAAAGGGCGTTGGATGAAATAAAAGCCGATGACCGATAGCACGCAAAGAAGAAATTTGAAGCTTTAAGTTTGCGACCGGACAACGGGTGGAGAATACGGTCAATTGAGCGCGTTTTGCATTTGTTAAAAATGGAATTAGTGGCAAATTAAGATTTCCGATAATTACTTTTAGACAGAAAGCGGTGAAGGAAATTAAGTCAATCGGCTAATCACATACAATAAAAGCAAAGCAATAATGTGCACTAAAGAATAGTTCGCAGTTTAAGGAATGCAGGAGAACAGAAATGGTCGGAAATATTGAAAAAAAAACGTCTCACACCCACGAGTACTTCATAATTTACATGGAGAATTACGTATGAGAATGGAGATTATATTGAATAAAAAAATTTATTTCATACCAAAAACAGTATTTTTTAATTTTGAACGCAGAAATTTTTCCACCAACCTGTACAATTAATACAAGAACGAGTTGGCTGAAACGTTTAAATAAATTCAAGCTTGTTCGCTGCTCTTTTGCCTAATTGATAAATAAATAATAAATTGAGTTTAACAAATATTTCCGTCATGTGACCGATTGCTTGTTTTCATCTTTCTGCTAGCGCATCTTGCATTCTCAATGACAATAAAAGTTTGGTATTCCTGCCTTTGTTCTTTTGAGCTTACATAATAATAAAAATAGCAATAAAGGAGTATTTCAGAAAGCAACAGACACACACACTAAATCAATCAACAAAGAAGCGGACGTGGATAAAGACAAAAGGGCCTAAACTAGAGCAAATCGATCAAAACTAAGCGGTGGAAAGTAGTAAGAAAACAATAGCGAAAAGTTGTAAGGAAGTGACAAAACCGACAAATCAGTGGAAGTAAGCTGTCGCCGAATTAAAATCGATTACCGCCGCGCATGCTGAACCACGCTCGAACATCAATTTTGACGCTGACCGTTTATATTATAATATAGAAGTTATTACATTACATTTGTTGTTAGAAATGTCGAACAATTGCTGTACACTTTTTGGTATAATTTGATGGAAGCACCATAAAATGTAGCGTGTCTTTTACATGCAGTTCTCAATTACGTGTTTAATTTGGCTATAAACACATTTCGTGAACAATGTACTCGCTCTACCCAACATACAGTCTCTTGACACAAATTCGAGAACAAAATATTGTAAATTGGAAAGTTTATTGTATTTCAATCAGAAAAACAGACCCATAAAGAAACAAAAATGTATAATTTATGATAGAGTATAAAAAAGTTGTACCTTTAATGAGTTTTTGTTGGCTTGCAAATGCGAACTTCAAATGAAAATGCATAATTTTGCAAAAGACTTCGGCAGGAACCATTGAAATTTTCTACGATAAATACGTGAAGACACAAGGATAATACGCGAGTTGTAGAGCAAATTTGGAAACACATAGAGGGTGGAGGCTTACAGGAACTTAATGATATTCAATAAAAAATTAAATTTTTAATTAAACGCGAATTTCGCTAATGTACAGTGAAAGAACAATCGACTAAATAACTATAAAAATATGTAAACAGTTTTGGTACTTACTTTTTTAGTCATTTTACTTATGTCATAAATTCGGTGGTTGTCCGTTTACATAAACTACTCGGCGTTGCATGCTTTTCTTTTTTCGCATTTTACGTTAAAGCATTGTATTGTTGCTGTAGCAGTAAAGGGGTGTTGATGCTGATGGAACGTTATGCTGTCAGCCACTTTGCAACACACTCAACAGCCAATCGCTGAAGCAAAATATTGCCTCATACGAAGTCCCACACACCAATCTGACGTCGACAAGTGGTCTTGTACTAGTTCATATGTAATATGGTGGAAATTGTTCTTGCTTACTCCCAGCCACTTGTAAATGTTGTTGTTGTTGCTTTTGGTTTATTTTCGTCATTGTGTGTGGCATTGCACTGTCACTGTTAACGTTGCTGATAGTTTCTTGGCAGCGATTTTCGTTTACTGTTTCTTGAGCAAAACAATTTTCTTCCTTTCTTTCTGCATTCCGGCATTTTTTGTTGCTTGCTAGCTTGTGGGTGTCGGCGAAGGTTATCGGATGAAGGAGCTGACTTGAATTTATAGTCTTTTCACTTGGCAGTGATTAGGTGGCGAGATAAAGTCTCGCATTACAAATTCTTGTCTATAAAACGGAAGCACTCAGTTGAAATTTCAGTCAGCTCGCTTCACAGCAACAAGACGGTTGAGACAGATTAGCTGCTTGCTTCTGGGCTGAAGTACAGAAATGAAAAAAATTAAAAAATATTATTTTAGTAAAGTAAATTAAACGTTTTGCTCAAAGCTAAGTTGTAAAATATTTATTTTAAACATTTATTTATTATATTATATATATAAATATTATATATGCACATATATATGTTCGCTTTGAAAATCAAAATGAATTTTTATACTAATGTTTCCCCTAATCTGCTCTTTACAGACGCAGCGAGTTTTTAGGATGCATGTCCTTTCCTCTACACACATTACTGCAGCAACCTGTTAATGGATTCTATAAACTACAATCGCAGGCATGTCTGAATAAACCACAGTCGCCAATATTATTGCAGTATCCGGTAGGAGTTACACACACAGCACAAGTCCACAGCCAGACTCATCAAACCCCGAGCCCAAAGTTACGCAACAACCAAAATCATAGTAGCAACGATAAATTCATTCACTTAAATTCCCACTTGCAGCCCCAGACAGCTGTGCCAGAGACAAGTGTCGCCAACGCCGTACGCACAATGACATCAACTCTGACAAGACAGAAAAGCGAAGAGGATGTCATGAGCATCGACAGCATGGCTCAGGCGACAGCTGGCAACAATATCGAGCACCCGATGACATTGAGCCGGAAGGCTTTGCATCAGCGTGATGCCGATGAGAATCTGTTTTTACGTTTCCTCGAGTTGGACCCACCCACAGATACAGCTGCGACCACAAATGCCGCCAGTGCCACACCGTCCGCTTCGGGCGGGCGACGTCTGTCTGCCACTAGTAAATCCGTTGGTCGTACACCATTCACTATGACTAAAAAACTGACGCGTACTGCCGAGCGTGGCTTCGGATTTTCCATTGTGTGGACACATCCACCGCGTGTCGAAAAGATTGAACCAGGTCTTTCTGCTGATCGGGCTGGCATACAACCGGGCGACTATGTGATTTTTGTAGACAAACAAAATGTAGTAACGATGCCAGAAGCGGATGTGCTCAACCTAATACGTTCACAAGGCTCTACGCTGACGCTAGAGGTTTTTAGACGAACCGGACCCACAGGAGGTGTAGGACTCGGCTCTATGCCACCAGCGCTCAGTGTTGGCAGCCGCGGCCATCCACCTGCACCGGTGATGAATGGAAAAGCTACACCAAATACACGGTTAGCTAGTACCATAAGCGATGAGCAGCAGTCAGTTACTGGTGGCCCAACGCTTTCAGCACGCCGTGTCGGCGTTCCGAGTACAGCGCCAATATCAGCTGCAGCACCAGCAACAACAATTGCTGTAACGAACGTACGTCCGTCCACAGCATGCTCCGGTGGCACTACCTCGTCCATTGAGGCCGCGAAACGGCGGCTGCACTTACCGCAGGTTACGTTCAGCAAGGAGGTAGGAAAAGGTGTCATTGTATAAGAGATGACAGAGCGCATGACTTTCTTTGAAGGGTTAAGAAGACGACTAGTGCCAAAACATAGTGAACGAATTTATATGTATAAGTTTGGGTTTCAATAAGTTTTTACATTTTTCACTTTATAATTTTACTCATTATAAATTATTTATTTGTATGTTTTGTTTTAATTTAATTTGAAAATATGTGTAAAAGCACAAAGTTGCCTCGACTGACGCTCCGAATGGAGTGAAAATGTCAGCGTTTTAGCAGAGTTAAGCCATTTAGATATAAGTAATATTTTTAAATGTTAAAACTTGAACACTCTATAATCGAGTGAGACAAACCAAACCAAGTGAATTTTTTAAAGAAATACACCTTATAACACACAATCATGTGCCATTGAAATGTTTTAAGTTTGCAGATGTACTCATTACTTTACTCCAAACATTAAAACCAATCAATTGGTAATTATCAAATTCTATAGGAGTATTTACAAAAGAAACCCCTACATTCAACATAATTAGATTTTTGTAACAATAATTTGAAATTACTTTTTCTCAACCTGTGTTGTTACTTCGCATATTTTTTGCACGCATTGTTGGTTCTTATTAGTTTTAACTTAACTTTGCACTTTTGTTTAAGTTTATGTTTATTAATTTCATTCGTTGTAAATTTAAAAATGCTGCTATGTTGACAATAAATGCTTATTTAAAATTAATTTAAATATATTTCTTTTATTTTGATATAATTTTTCAAAAAATGTTGTTAGTTTCTCAGATTTCGCATTGCACATTCTAGTGTAGAAGACAGAGCTTCGCATCATCTCGTATTTGAAAATAATATGCCGTATATACAAATATAAACACTTTTTTTCCCCATCCCAGTCTATCGGGCCGATTACAGATAACCGTCGCCGCTTACTGTTGCAACTGATCAGCCGCGAACAGAACTTTATCGCAGCGCTGCACTTCGGCATGCAGCGATTCGTTCAGCCATTGCAAGACCGCAAAGATCTCATCTCGCCAAATGATCATCGAACACTCTTTCAGAATATTGACGAGCTTTTGCGCATCTCCGAGGATATACTGGAACAGCTGTGCAATGATGATCAGGAACCACAAATGAACTTTGCTTCCCGTGTTTATCTCTCGAAAACCACAGCTATTTGTGCGGCTTACAAAAAGTATTGCAATGGCATCAAGCGAGCTGACTGTGTGCTAGTACGTTTGCTTATTTCGTAATTTCTTTACATTTTAATATTACATTAACATTTTCCAGGTGAACAAGTCACGACAAATGGGCTCGGAGTTTGTTGCCTTCATTACAGAACCTCAAGTGCCGCGAAAACGCCCAGACCTTACGATGTTTATTCATAGACCCTTGCAGCATTTTCGTGAAATATTGAAGCTAATGCAACTGCTCGCTTCCAACTGTCATGTCGATACCGAGGAACATAAAAATTTCACTACTGTAATCGCTGAGCTTCAGGCAGCGTATCGCGAGATTACTGTCAGCAGTGGCTTAATGGAGCCACTTGGCGAAGGCCGGCCTTTGCTCACGTTGCAAGATCTCGAGTCCCGCATGGTCTTCACTAAGTGCAAACCATTCACGCTGGCCGTACAGGGACGCCAATGGATATTTGGTGGTGATCTGTCACGCGTGGAAGGCCGCTCCGTGAAACCCTACTGGACCTTGCTCTTTAGTGATATCATCGTGTTTGCAAAGGTCAGCCGAGACCGCGTGTTATTCATAACCGAGGAGCCCATTCCTATCGCAAATATTGTAGATTCCTGTTTTCATATGCGTAAAAAAAGTTAGTCCGAAGTCGATACCTAATCTAGAGCAATCATTAACAAAGCTACATTTTTACCTCAGCCACAGAGTTCCGTCTTACAGTGGATCCGAACGGACGCTTGGCCGAGAGTCCAACCGGCTATTGTGCACCGGACCTCACTCGCACACCCAAGAAAAGTGCTCGTCGAAAGAGTCTTCTGCTGCGAGCGCCCTCTTTAGAGCTAAAAGCTGTCTGGCAGAACCTCTTACAACGTCAAATGTGGGTTATTTTCAAAAGTTGTTTTAAATTAACACATTCATTGTAATTACTTACAGTTTTTTGGTAAATGCCGCACTTGGATCGACACCCCTCTCAAGTCCACTAGATTCTCCCGATGTGCTTAATACTCTAGTGCCACTGAGTGATATCGGAATTGCGTCTGCATCTATTGGTTCGATCAAGCACTCATCCATGGACAGCATTAACGCAAAAAACAGTCAACAACAGGTGCGTTTATTACGTCAAGGTGGCCATTTGGCAACCGGCGATTCCTATGAAAACTTACAACGTCTCGCCAGCACACTGGTCGCTTCGCGTTGCAGTACACGCATGACCCAAACTACGCGAACTGCTTCTTGTTCCTCTCAAACGGCGTCGCCGGCCCGCCACACGCTCACAGGTTGTCTTGGTGGTCATGGTGGTGGTGGTATTGCTGGGCTTGGCGGTCTCACAGACAGTGCACCTTCGCTACGCTCATTAACACTAACGCGCCGCCATTTAGTCGCCCAGCAGCTGGAAGCGCGACCTTTGGCGGCTGCGCGTGCATACAATTCAAGCGCAAATAACTCCAGTACTTGGCTCAGCTTGAGTGGCAGCAGCCTTAACACACAAACTTTATGTTCCGGAGAGCATTTGCCCTCTTGCAAGTGTCTCACCGCTATCCCAGAGGCAGCATGTGAGCCCACCGCTGCCGATACAAAACATGACATCGACACCTTTTTTTTGCAACAACGTTGCGCTGACGGCGGTGAACGACTGCTTTTAATCGACGGACAAGGGCGCTATTGTGTAACTACCACGGCCAAGAGTAATGCACGGTCACCTCGACGTAGCGATAGTGCATTGCACAATACGCAAGCGGCAATGTCAACACCAGCTCGCAGTGTGCGTAGCGTTGTGACAAGCTCCGCAATTACTACCACCAGTAGACCACCTAAATTACTAGAGTTTTCGCTTAGCTCAGTGGGACGCTCCTTTATTGACGAAACCGATGTGGCGCGACCAAATGACTCGCAGAATCTCTCACTGACGACCCCCGACACACCCACACCGAATATATCGCCCTCCTCGCAGCTATGTAATTCAGACGCATTCTCCAATGATTTTGTTCCAACTCAGAATATAAAAACACAAGAACACGAAAAAGCCAATAAAGTTGATATTAACACTTGCTCAGATACAGATGTTAATACGAAGGTAGATAAGGGAGATGAGCGCAAAAAATCAACTGTTGCCAAGGGCATACCACTGGCGCAATTTGGTGGATCTTGGGATCTACTCGAGTTGGATATGAACCTACAGGAAGTGAACATTGATCCCTCCTACGATACTGATGTGGAAGAATGTATATTTATGGGAGATGAACATGAGGTGGACGAAGATGATGAGATCGATGTGAGTGTTGTCGTGGACGATCCATTTGGAGTACTACCGACGAAACCGACCCCACCCGACTCATTGGATCTGTGATTTGATTTTTGGCTAGAAGGTGCAGGTATTTACTATGAGAACGACGAACTGGACATTGAGGATAATAAAGACGAGAACGACTTTGATTGTCACATTGAATACCAAGTATTAACTAACTGAATACCATACAACGTAACCATTTGAGGCAAATGAAAACACATGCCGACTGACATTATAGACAATGTATGAAACAACTTTTCACTTATGAGCTTATTTCCTGATTACTTTATTGAAATTTAAAGCATTTAATTACCATTTCACAAAATGTTTACACAAAACTTAAATGGAATCGTTTATTCCATGGAAAACCTCACTACTTCAGCACACCCAAATACATGCTATAGGAAATACATCTATTGCCGTATACCACCGATCCCTCTCAAACACTAATCCGTCGATTGCTTGCTCTCACTTGCACGCTCCTCAGCCATAATGACTTTGCTGCTTCCGCAAAATAAAATCAGATAAATGTCGATTTTAGAGTTGATATTGTTTTTGTTGTTTTGCCCTTAGCCCAGGCCATCTAAACTTTGACAGATGTGTTATTGTGGTCAACGCGTGTGCGTAGCGCTGTGCTGTGCGCGACCCCTTACCCCAAAATTACTCAAGTAAGAGTGTCCAGCAACTTGTTACCAAAGCTCAGCCGGTTTATTAAAGACAAAATGGATAAATAAGTGCCATACGCTTAGATAGGACATACATATATTATTCAGTTGAAATAATTACAAGTCATAATTACGGTAGTTTAGTCTTAGAAGGCTCAAATAGAGTAATTAAGTTTCAAGTAGAAAACAGCAAAATAGCTCAGTTACGTATTGATTTATTTGTTGTTGTTGCTATGTGTGTAAACAATAAACTAATCGTTGTACAACAATTTGCGCAACATGCCACAAAGAAAGAGGTTTGATAATCAGTTGCCGGCTTAAGATTCATGTCCCGTAGAATATGTTTATTACTTTGCTTACATAACGTTTAAAACAAAACACACTATGTATGGAAAAATGGAAAATTGTTAATGGCTCAAAAATTGACGCACACAAAAGACAAACTAATTATTAGAAATTAGAAATCACCACCGGTGAGGTAGAAGTTATTGAATACAGTTAACTATTTTATTTAATTCCTTGTATTTGCGAGTAAGTAGTTCAAATATTATAACGGTTGTTACTACTAATTAAGATTTTTGTAGTAAAAAATAAAATCGTAGAATTTTTATGTTCTTTCAAATTCGAATTAAATAGTAAATAAGTTGTTAATATTAAAGATTTTATAAAGCTAGCTATCTAGCTAATATGGCTACATATGACAAAGATATTCCTGCCGATACACCCATGTATTTAAGCTACACTCAAGATCAAATTTGACGCGACAAACAGCTGACATATTATTTCATATGTGAAGATCAGACTTCACATGAATATAAAAAAGTTTGGACCAATCTAATTTAAATTAAATGAACCAGTCAGGTTCAAATTTGATCTTGAGTGTAGAAATGTATACCTTCCTTACAGCATAGCCGATTACTAGTAATCCAGAGTTGGAGTGAGTAAGTACTCCTCTAAGCTTTGTTTGAAAAATTAATTTTTCAATTGAATTTAAGTTTTTCAATTAATTGTACGAGTATAAGCCAGATTAGCTTAGTAGAAAACATTGATTTTAGTTTAGTTGATCAAAAAATTAGTTATTAGTACAAAAAATAGAATCAAAGACTCGTTGGTAAGGGGCTGTAATTTTTATTGTAGACTTAAAAAGTTGTATATATGAAAAGTTGTTAATTTTTTCCATTTTTTTTTAATTGTCACCACATTATAAGACAAGTCAAAAAATACGTTTTTGTTACTGAGAAGCTGACAATTTTACTTAACAAACGTTAATATTCAACAAAAGACCGCGTTACTTTTTTGCGCAAAAACTTTCTGAAATGTTATATCAGAAAACCTACACAATTGATGAAAACCCGATAAACTCTTCGATTTTTCACTAAATATTATTGGTTGCAAGCAAATTTAATTTCATATAATATTTAAATATAATTATAATAGTAAGTCAAATCCAAATCCACCACAAAAATGCTTCCAAATACTTCCTTTTGCAATCAGAATTATTCCATTTTAATAACAATGCTCAAATTTGTTTATAGTTAGTACAAATTTACAAGAAATAATTAATACAAAATCGTTGTCCAAAAAAGCAAGAAAATTCCACAAGAAGCTTCAAATTAAAAAAGTGTTACAAGAGTTATATACATACTTGGAGTGTATGTAAATCTAAATAAAAAAGTAAATATATGCAATTTACAATCAATCCTTAACGAAACGAAATTCTTTTACAGTTATTTAAATAATTATATATGTAGATACATACATCGACTTTTGAGAATTAAAAACTCGCTACACTCTAGTCGCTTGGCAAATTTCAAATATTGATATTAATATTAAAAATCGCTATAAATTTCATTAGTAAGCAATACGATTACATAGCATACGAAGACATACCAAAGTACATAGTACACAAGCATACAATTACATAAAAATACTTGTAAAATATTATCATCAGACACTCATGTAGTTTAAACAATGTAGCTTAATTGATTATATGAATATTTATAGATACATCTCTTCATTCACAGTGTATTAATAGTCATTAGTAAGTGATTTTCATTTACAGTAATGCATTACAACTTCTATCAGAACAAGAAAGGGCTAAACATTTAGAAATATTAAAGAAGCAAAAAAATATTGCAATTGAAATTGAAGAAATTTATGAATGAAAATAAATAAAAGAAAATATGATTCTTTGAATAAAAACGCTTGTGAATTTATTTCGACGTTTTGAGTGTTGTGCTTTAGTTTTCGCTGCTGTTACACTTTACATGCCTCTTCGTTTTCCTTTTCATATTAATTTATATTTCCTAACAAGCCGCTAACTTGGTGGAGCTTTCCAAAGCTAAATTTACTAATTGACTATTTCAAATCCGAGATCTCGTTAGTATTTCCATTTCGTTATCTACATTTTTATTTATTTTTTTTTTTATTAAAAATAGTTCCTTTCCTTTCTACATAAAAATAAATTGTTGAATCAGGCACTGTATTCACGAAGAAGCCAAAAAATTACCTATATAAAATTGAAAGTTGTGATGGACTCCATTTCAAATTTGAGCTATGAAAAATTATTAAAAATAAAGCATTTCTTGCGCAGAAATACCTTTCTCATTCCTTTTTTGATTTCGTGCGCCGCTGCTTGAATTGATATCGAACAATATTGGTATGAGCACAAAGCAGATCTATCGAAACTTTTCTATCTCCTAAACATTATTTGTTACAAGCGTTTTTAATCAAAGATTATCCAGTCAAGAATGTGACACATTTGTCCTATATTTGTAAATATTTAGAGCTAATAGTATTTGCTTAAATTTTTTTTATTAATTTCAAATGCAATAATTTGAATTTACAGTTCAGTTTTAGTTTGTTTAAAATTTTTTTGTAAAGTAGTTATTTTGCACGAAAGATAAATGAGACCATCACAATTTTCCATTTTATAGCATAAATATAAATCTCAATGAAATCGAGTTTGTTGCTTAAGTCTTTTGAATATCAGCAAAAAAAAAGTCGCTTTGTTAACGGTTGCAGAGTTACGAGGCGAACATGCAGCAACCTATTGGGCATCGAGTAAATTATTTAATTCCCCTCTTCTCCTCTACATTGCATTTCCCAATTACTATGCTTCCATGTGTGTATGTATTTGTATTATTCACACAGCAGAAACGCCATTCGAATGCATCGGAGCAAATCGAAATGTTAATTGATGAAAAGTGTCGCATCCTAAACAAGACTGGCACTTCCAAGTCGAATGCTCTTCATCTTGCCAATTGGATGAAAGGTCAGCTGGATAAACAACAGGAGCAAGCGAGACTGGCAGCGCAGCGCTCACGCGAGAATATCAGTCACGAAGAGGAGCACTTACTTTATCCGGAGACTGATCAAGATGAGCGTATAACCTTTTGGACAAGGCAGCAGCTTGAAAAGCGCACCAAAGAATTAAATTTGGCCAAAGAAAATGGTAGTATGAAGGCCCGGCCGAATTTTGGCGGCAAACGTTTAAGTGGCGTGGAAGAGCTCAGCATGAGTGAAGCCTACTCAGAGAACGTGAGTCAGTTGAGCCAATCTCACAGCACCACTTCAGATAGTCAGGTAAGTCTCATTTGGCTTATGCTAGCTCATCAAGGTCTTGCTTAGTTGTGCACATCACTGATGCTTTCACTTTTCACTCATATTACTTCAACTCATTGTCAGATCACTGTACGCTCTAGTCCCATTGTGCTTGATAAGCTAGCAGTCTGTCGTCATTGTCATAAGAATTGCCAGCAAGCCGCTTTGGGTCTTCAACAGTCAATGTCACCCACTATGCCCACCTCACATCCGCAACGATCGGCCATTGGCGCAATGATCGCCGAAGGTAGTGCAGGTGGTGGTAGTGGCAGCGGACTGGTTTGTACGTCACTAAAGGTGCAACATAGCCAGTCATCACCCAATCGCTGCTGCAGGCTCAATGGAAATGCTAGTCAGGCTGGCAGCACCACCAGCATATCATCGAGTACTATCACGGGCGAACAGCCCAGCGAACATTCATCCAAGGTAGTGGCTAGCAGTAGTAAACGGGAGACCGGTGATACCGAAAGCGATGTGGCGCAATTAATAACTGACGATCTTTCGCAATCAGAGGCTACGGACGACAGCATCGGTGGAATACCAAGTAGCAGCAGTGGAGTCGCCGCTGCAGATGAAATACAACGCCGACTCACCGACAGCTTCAGTAAATTACGAATTTTAGACGAACGACGTGAGGCAAAAGGTTTGGATGCCAAGCCTGGACCACAACCTATGCCTCGAATACAGGACCCACAACATATTCATCAGACGGTATTTATGAATGGATATTGTTTATCGAGCTCATCTAGCGGCGATAGAGACAACGAAAACAAAGCGGCTAGCGTCAAAAAACCACAGCCACAGCCAAGAACATACCGAGTTACATTACAAACTGCTACGAAGGAAACGGCAAAGGAAGCCGCTGACAAAAAGGTGAAAACGACTGTTACCATTACTGAAACAGCGCAAATAATACGTACACAAGAGCAGGACCAGATGCCGGAGGCGGAAAGCGCGCATTTTGCGGATACGAGTCGCAACACTACGAAAAGTTCTAAATCTCCGCACACGCCTATCATGTTGAAATCCCCCAAGTCGCCTGGCACCCCAGCATCAGTGTCTCGGTTCATAGCATGCAATTGTCAATGTACACCCGCTGATTTTAAAAATACGACACTCAGCCCTGATGAGGTAGAACAGCAGACTTGCAAACTGATTGATTCACCAAAGCAGTCACCCCAAATGCCACGTCAACTGCAGTTGCAGGAGTCAGCGAATAGCATAATAAGTGAAAAGACGCTCAAGTACTGCAAGTGCATTTGCGGTGGTCAATCGTTGGTTACTGCAAAGGATGAGCAATCGTCATTCCAATTTAATGGTTTATCGGCGAGACAATTTAATACAAAAGTCACACCCACTACTCCGCTGCCAACACCAACGTCTACTTCAGCACCAGCACCCCTGGCCGCTCCCATGTATGACAGCACCTTCGTGCCGACTATCGCTGTTGTACCACCCACGCCTGAGGCGATGCTTACCATGACCTCGACGAATGTGTGGGATAATAGCGGAACAAATTTAACAACCAGCACAACAACTCAGCTGCAGCTAAACAACACACCACGACAGGCTGTTATTGAGAATATTCCAGAGGACTCTTGCGATGAGTCCCCACTAGACGAAGAACCGCCGTATCGCCCGATGAGTAATGCCCTACGGCGCTATGGTACCATGTCCAGCTTGGAGAAATTGCCCTCAGATGATCGGATGGACGATGAAATAGACGAACTAGATAATGATGATGACAAAAGCGAAGTGCCTGACGATACAGAAGAAGATGATGACGATTTAGATGATAAAGCACGAGCCGATACAGTGGACAATTTGTGTGAAACCAGCAAGTCTAGCGTATACAGCAACGAAGTGGTGGCTGGCGGATCATGTGTGTTGGTAGGTGGTGTCTGGACAAGTCGAGCAGGCGGACTGGTGGGAGGCAACAAAATGTCCTTTTTCGAGGAATCACGAGCATTTATCGATAAATATTTAGGAAGGTGGAATCAAGAACAAACGACTTCTTCACCTGCTGCCACTACATCCGAAACAGACGAACAAGCCGACGAATGCACCTCGGGTGCCACATCTGGAGAGGAAGTGTGGGGAACGCCGACAAGTGGTGGAGACAATGACGATATGCATCTAGTGAACTCGGAAAATACATATTCAGTAAGAAAGTAACAAAAAAAAACTGATTGACGCAACAATAATCTATACTTTGCTATATTTCACATTTTTAGTCGCCTACGAAGTCAAGCAATTCACTGAATGATGATGACGACACCGAGCTAATGATGGATGAACTTCTTATGGCGCCACCAATGACTGCAAGCACCATTCGAGGACTATTGCCACGGTAAGTTGTAACGCTTAGCATATGCTTTCAATTAGTTGCCGATATAGGTACTGTATTAAAGAGATCGACTTACATAGATAATGAGTTTATTAACATACGAGTTTATTCATAATATTTGTGTAGTTTTATTAGTGCTACTCGTACTTTGGATATAAATCGGATTTGAAAGTAAATAAAAAGTATTGTATTTAAGAATATAGTTTTATATTCATTCATGTAAATGTATAAAATTAAAAAATTTAATGTAACAAATAGTTGGGATATAGTCACACCTCAACCGTTGCGATATTTAGGTTCAACTAGAACATATATGTATGTATATATATATTAATGTTTGAGCAAAGAATGTAAGCCGGACTCCAAATACGAGCTATTCGATGTAGAGACGCAGCATCATTTGATATAGACTTTTATAATAATTGCATTATTTATATATAATTAGAAGTTTACTCTTAGTATATCAGAATGATCACTAGTTTGTAAATCTCATTGTATTCTCTATTATAATTTACTTCATCAAATCATTTTAAATTCATCATTTAAAAATCAAATAAAAATTCCATTCATCAATGCTGTAGACGTCGCTTAGAGCCACTTTTTGAGGAGGAGACTGAAAGCGATGAAGAAAAGACCCAGCAGGAAAGTGATGATGTTAAAAAGGTGGGTCGGCTTTGTGCGTTTGCATGTATAGTTTCAATATAGAAATCAAGAAGTTTTAACTATTTTCTTATATGTATATGTAAACATTGTGCGTTTTGTTGAATCACAGACTCACAGCTTCAAATATTTTCAAACGTTTTGTAATTTATATTTAGTAGTGAACTAATAACCAGTTATCGACATTAACTATTAATTGCCGTTAGAAATATTTTATTTATTTCTTATATAATCGAATCACATTTTATCGTATGTCTTGTTCGCTTTTATTCGATTCTTATATTCTTTTCTTCATTACATCTGTTTCTTTTCATATTTCATCAACTTCATGCTTTCTGTTGCCCATTGATGTATGCACTCATGTTGCCATTTGCCATTTGCCATTTTATCATTGCGCCACTGCTCAATATGTTTATGTATGTATGAACGTATGTATGTGTATGTGTTTTGGTCTTCTAGAAAGTCGTAGTGCGGCTAGTGAAGCTCTAGCACAACTTGCAACATTGTCAATTCATACAAATCAAGAAATGACATTTGCTCTACGCTAATTGTTGCAAATTAATTACTTATAACAACAACTATAAATCCATCAAATTACATACGAGTACTTAACTTATAAACAAAAAGTTATAACAAACAACAGCAACCATTACCTCCTACTAACAATCAAAAAATAGACAAGAAAAAGAAAAAACTCTTCTAGGAATGGGTTTAGACATACATACTTATAATGTACTTATCGGACCGCTAACTCCAAAAGAATTCGAAATTAAAAATATTATTAAATCTGCCAACACCAGTACGTGTATTAGAGATATACAAACAGAAAATCCAAAATAATAACATTCGCTAGCATAACCAATAATAAACATTCACCGAAAATTTCGTGCAAACTAATCACTAATTCCCACACTATCATCGTCATTCCATTGGCGGTCTTTGCGACTCGCAATAACACTCGTCCACCAACAGTTCACGACTCTCCAGAACCAACTACACACCAACCACAACAAACTTATAGTACGCTATAAACCAGAATTGATTAGTTGAATTCTATTCCCAACAATTGGTAGGGGGAAACAACGACAAATGGCCACTATTTAAAGGATTCAGCTGGAAGCTCAAGCGACGAGGATCTCTCGAACGAGAAGAGCTACGAATTGGAGCTGGAGGAGAACGAGAACCAAACGCCATTCGCCCCGAAGGCACCACATATACATGGTCGTATTCTACTGCCGACATCAATTCCGACGAGCTGGGAGCAGGCGTTCGCACAATCTCAACCTCCTCATATGGCCAACAAGGTAGCTCTGCCAATCGGTGTTCTGAAGGCCTCATCTTGCGAGTACCTACTCGAACAGCGTACAATGGTCCCACTGCGTACAACCAGCATTACCAGCAGTCCACCAACAGTGAGAGCCACTTCGGCAACGCCAATGAAAGCAACAACTCCGCCATTGGCGAAAGTAGAAGTGGAATTGGAGGCGGCGTCACAACAGACTGTCACGATGCAAGTGGAGATGAAAGCGACGATGAGGAGTACTACTACTATGATGATGACGACGACGCGGACAATCAAGACGCCACCATCGCCACGGAATCAACCTCATTCATCGATTTCTACAACAATCAACAGCGCGAGCGCCAGTATCGTGAAAAGCAGCTGCAACAACGGCAGTGGGAGTACCCAAACTACATCCACAACAACTGTACGACCAGCGAAATTCGTACCACCGCCGCCTCCACCGCGCCGACTATTATTAACACAAACAAATTTGCAGACAAGTGGCAGGGTAATGCCGAAGGCGGTAAGCGCTGATTCAACTAACTCGTTAAAAGTTTCATATAAACCGTAAATTTATGTTTCTTTTCAACAGCCAGTACCACCTCAACGAAGTTCTGGCGCTTCTGCTGACGTTGGCTACTCAGCGGTTGTAAGCACCGCCGACGAAAATACAAATGCAACCCGCGCAGTCGCTATGCCTACCACAAAAGTAGTACCGTTGGAAGCGATGGGGAAGGCGACAGCGAACCAGAAAGCAACCGGTGGCAATCAGCGCTCTGCTGTCGCCGCCGCCGTTGTACCAACAACCGCAAAGCGGGTGTCTTCAACGATAATAGAGACATCACTGCTGGGGTCAGGCACCAACAAGGCAGCCTCCACATTATTAACAACAGCTTCGAAGACGACGAAGGAATCATTGCAGGAGGACCGGCAACAACAAGCGCATCCGTTACAGAAAATTGCAACCGAAGCAGCGACGAACTCGATGGTAGCGCAATACGGCAACGAAAGTTCAAAATCGGACGTTGTCCCGGCGCCAATTGGTTCGGGCTTAAGTCCGCGTCTAGAAATGCGATTGGCACTCAATCACGACATTCTCGGCGACGAAGACTTAATTTGTTACGATCCTGGTCCGGATCTAACAAGAATTTTGGGGTACATAGAGGACAGTTATTGATTTAAAAGTTTGGATAACATCTTATAATGTTTTTCTACAGGCACGACCTATCCACATTTCAGCGACGGACGGGTCGCGATTTATTGAGTCGTTCAGCAACAAATCGCGTTCAGCCAAAAGAGGCTGTCATATCGTTCTCTCAACAGCGAAACTCGAAGATGGACACTCCGACTGTGAACCGACGTCCACGTCCGAGTTACGGCAACGTCAACACTTCTCTAACGACAGGTTTGGTTGGTGGCGCTCGCGTCGGTGGCGTTCCACAACCCCTGCTGCCAAATCGAAATACATGGAGCAATTCTGTATCTGCGGATCGGAACAGCGGCGTCTACGCAAGAGGCGACGAAAGCAGCAAAAGCTACAATTACAGCAGCGACGAGAGCAAATTAAGCGATCTCGAAATCTTAGCGAGACGAGAGAAGACATATTGCATGTCTCAATTGAAGAGTGGCTCACGAGTCAAGACGAAGACGACGGCGACAACAACCACAATGACAATGGAAACAATGGGCATGACGATCAGCAGAGATTCCTTGACAAGTCCTCAAGCGACGAGGAAGAGTACTTCTTCGATGAGCATGGAGATTGAAACTGGTAATGTGCGATCACGTAAGATCGGGCGTGATGAGAGTGCGTTGATTGAAGCGGGCAAAGGATCTCGACTGTAAGTAGTAAGCCAACAATCGTGTATATTTTGAGAATGCTACTGAAAAGTTTACATTTTATCTTTAGAATTAACTTCATAAAGCGACGCAACTCGGAAAGCCCGATCTCTCCGAACTGTTCTCAGAGCTCACTAAGTGAATCTAACGCAAGTGGTACACCAGTCCATCGCCTCGCGGTACAAATGTCACCACGAAAAGATAATGTAAAATAACACTATGGCAGGAAAAATTTCTTTGAAAATAATTATTCAATTTTTCCCGGTAGGACAAACCTTCGCTAAATCGCCGGCTTTGGAAGCAGATCACTAAACGACGGCGCGCCAATTCTATCTCGGAAGTAGTTGCCAGCTAATTTTACACACATATGTCGTCGTGGGTGCTAAACCGCATGAGCTATTCACCGCTACACGTCCCGGGCTAAATATATGCTATTTCCCTAGTGGTAGATACCATTTCCAAAGCGACCTCTATAGACTTAAAAAAGCGAAATAATCGAGAAAGCAAAGTATTGGGATATTTTTTTCTAGAACGTAAGCGTAGTTGTTGTTGCTGTTGTTCAGTAGGACAGGTTACGTCTGGCGATGAACTGCTTTAAGTTTTAAAAAGTTTGACTTTTCGAAAAAATAGAGGTACAATGTTCGGATATTTGTAGAATAAGCGTATTTTGATAGATTTGTAAGCGTCAGAAATTCAGTTAGTGAAGACAGAGCATAAGAAAGCGATCGGTAACGTAATCATATTATACAGAAACAAGCGACAAATTATTTGCTTTTTAAGTAACACCATAAGCGGTCGGTGAAACAGAAAACGGGAAGAAGATATATTAAGGTTCTGCGTGCAGTATATGTGTAGGTAAATCAGCGTTAAGAAAATTTTAAATTCGGAATATTTTATTAAATAAAGCACAGGTTATTTTCGGTGCACTTAACAATAAATCTCGGGTGTGGGTGCGTGTAAATCCGATAAGTTCTACATGCGGTTTTAGGTATTTTTTAGTAAAGTTATGGGATTTCTATATACGATTATGCACGTAGAAAACAAATAAATAGTAGGTATGTAACTTTGTCCAATTTAATGCAAATCAGTCCATTTATTTGCGCTTCTTGTGCAGTGATAACACGCTTGTCCATAATTTATTGCACATGCACACACGTCACTAAAAGACTCAGCAACTTCCTGCCACTGAAGGTTTAAATAAAGACGAAAGTAGTAACCAAAAGTTTACATATAAACTAAAACTTACAGATAAGATAATTTAACTCAATCTCATAGAATATTTTTTGCTGTTTACCGATTTTTGGACTTAGACGACTTTTGTTTGGAATATTAATGAAAATAGTAAATCATGAGATCTACTATGGCAATAAAGTACATGCAATAATTTTTAGTTGAGGCTTTTCATGCAGTTTAGAGCTTTCATTGAGCTTTCCGGCGAACACGATAGCTTAATGCGATATTATTAGCTACACGCTAAGTTGTGGAAATATGAAAGAAGCTATGATAATACATTTTATTATTAATGATATTCGAATACATCAGAAATATATTATAAATTTAAATTACTTTAATTAATAAATGCAGAGAATTACTCTGACATTCATGCGAATTTTTAAATTAAAAATAATTAAATAAAACTCAAGTTTAAGCTTTAATGACAAAATCAGTAAAAACAAAATATTTCAAATTTATTAGGTATTTTGAATACATAACTGCATTGATATTGAATTAATTCAAATTTTACGGTATTTAAAATTGGGAAAAGTCCACGAATGAAAAATCTAAAAACATAGATATAGAAACAGTACAACTGTTTATTATGAATAACATAAATGACTTTAGAGACATAAGATTAATTCATAAAAAATGTTTAGAAGAAAATCATATTGCTGTAATCAAAATGGAGGTATTTTATTATTTATCAGAAACCTTCGGTAATGATAATATTTGAAAGCAATTCTTTAATAACGTAAAATTTTTAAATCATTCCTTAATTGGAAATACTTAAATTCTTTACAGAATAGATGTTATGTCGCAAGTTGGTGGTGAGTTTTTGGTATTTTTACTGTTTAGCACTTTGTTCGTGTGGGTGTCTTTAGTAAATTTATGGTCAAGTAAAATATTTCGAAATATATAAGATTAACATATGTATCTAATGAAAATTTTACTTTATTAATATATTAATAATTATTGAATATGTATACATATTTAATAATCAAACAAGCAAAAATAAAGTGTAACTAATTGAAAAAAAATCAGATATATCTAATTCTTTTCGCATTTCAATTAAGCTTCGCATGCTCGTAAATGCACCGCTTCCAATGAACTCTAGTTCTCTTGCTTCCAGTGAGTTCGCTCTGCGCTGAGAAGTAGAAAAATGTCAAAAGTTGAGAAATCAACATAACACAAACAGCTGTCTCTTAGTTGAACACATTATGTACAAATGTATGCACATCCAAGTATAACTACGAATCTAAACAGAAACACATGCGTTGGTGGAGACATCAATGAATTTACTGACAAGGTCATGTTTATGCAAAATTCTTGTAGGGTCAGTGCTACTGACTGACAAACTGATTACAAAAAATTTAGCAGAAACGTTTAACTTTTACAGGGTTGTTTTATACAAAAATATATTTTAATTTTTTTGTCTGGTTTAAATAAAAGGTGAACTTGGGAAATTTATTTTCCATGATTGTGGATAAAATTTTAACATATATGATTGGACCATACGCTTATATACTTATATTGCATCCAACGCTCCTTGAATCCCAGACGTTCACTATATGAGGTTTTGATCTGAATTACCCACATCCAGCTGGTATATGTACAAAGCAAGTTATAACTTCCCGAAAAGCTTAAATATCTTCTGCTAACGCATTTACAGCTGTTTGTGGTCCTCTCTGTGTACAAAAGCGCAACCTCGATAAATCTTTATCATTCCATTAACAGAGAAACGAGTTTCGACTAAGAGAGTGACTGCATTTACAAGCACTACACAGTTGAGCGTGATCACTGAACAGCTGTTTAACACACACACTCGGAATGCAGCTTGTATTTCGACGGCGTGTTCCGCACTTCTAGTTGAAAGCTCAGCTACTAAACTCGCCAAAAGCACTGCTCTTGTCATATGATCAACACGGCGTTCATATTACGAGCAGCAAGTCGTAGTTGGGTTTTCGAACGGATTTCAGTTTTCGAACGAGTGTCACGTTATACGGTTGGAAGGGTATGTCGCCACACATTACCCGCTTTCTTTGTCATCGTGTTTACTTTAAGTTAAACAAAAAAAGTATTTGCAGAATAGACAATCGTTAAGCAATTTATTTTCACAAAATCGCTTTATGCAACAAGCGCGATCGTACTCGTATGTGGTAAAAATTGTTTTTATTAAACCAATCTTTGTTGGTTGGACACAAAAAGTTAAAAAAGTGTGTGAGTAATGTTGTTACAATATTACTAAAAGCTGTGGCTGTAAAAAAATTTACTCTATGCTTTTTCTACATACGAAACTAACTTTTGTTTAAACAATAAAATTGCCATAAACAGAAGTTCCACGTTTAATCAACAGAAGCAGCTGAAAAATAAAAAATGTTTCTGCTGCGATTATGTGGAAAAGCGAAAGATACAAATTAAACCCAAATATAAATTGAGACAAGTGTGAAATACATGCAAACAAATATGATACATATGAGCAATTGGAATTCTTTTGGGCTACGCTTGGTGCGCCCAACAGACGCGTTGACAGCAATTTGTACAAGTACAGTGGTATTTGCTAGTGCTAAATCCATGGCAGCTTTATTTGTGTGATTTATGTGCAGCATTTTGCATCAGTCTATGTAATCAAAGGCAAAAAATAAAAATGAAAAGTGCAAACTATGTAAAAACATCAGATTTGGTTGCGAAAAATAAAAATGTACATATTTAAATGATGAACTTTATTTCAGGCTTTAATAGCTAATTAAACTGAACACAAGTAGCAACACAAGTCGTCTTTGAAACAACAATTCAATTTATTTTTATTTTAATTTTTCTTTTTATTTATACATATATATCTTTTTGTTATTTTTTATTGTACAAAATTAGAATAATTTTACTCAAAAAGTATTAAAGCCATTATTTTTAGCATATGCGTTGTTTTTTATGGCGAAAACGTCAGCAAGAATTGCTAAATACACAAACTAACTGACGTTGTGCTGAAAAACAGTGAGAGTTAAAAATACGAGTATACTTCCACTTTACTCAACAACTGTAAATAAAACTGCTACGCAAACGATTTGTATAAGAGTGTATATGTTTCTATATACATTTCTTTCTAATTAATACGGTTATAATAACATTAAAGTTCAAACGACTTAATACAAAAAATTTAATTCATTTCAGTGAAAAAGTAACTAAATTTAACAGAAAATTAACTGCAAATAATTATTTTTTAATTTCAAAGTTGTTTCATCAATAGTCCGTTGAATAAGCCGACAGACTGTCATCCAGTCATTCAGCGAATCGTTCAGTTTTGTGCGCAAAATTGCAATTGGATACTTTTCCCTTTTTGCGTTATTTTTTACTTGAATATCTGCATCATTTTACAATATGTGTAAGCGCATTTAAGCATATGTACATATGTATAAATAAGTGCATTTATGCAAGCGCTGACGACGACGAAGTGAAATTCGCATCGTATTACTGAGTGGCTTTGGAGGCGGCCGCGCTTCAATGCAACCACACCTGACTGCTGACTAAAAGCAGAAAAACTTAATTTCAGGAGCAAAAAAGGCAAAAAAAGTTTTAACATCAACTAATTTGGGATATACCGCCCAGCAGTATTGCAGAGCTTTAAATATTCGGTGAGTATGCTTAGTCACAGAGAAAGATTTCCACCTATACTACAGTATTTTTTAACCATTATGGTATTATAGTTCTTAAGGCAAATGTGTATAATCAGCTGAGTGAAAGCGACAATAATCGATTCCATTATATGACAATATAAAATGTTCGTGACTATATATGTATTATTCTCACAATTTCATTATGGAACAATACAATTTATGTAAAAACTTAACTCTCTGCCTTTGACAAAACAGAATCCCAACTTCCAGTCACACAAATACTGTTTTGCTGGATTTTATACACAACTTAAATTAAGCATCGCTAATGTTGCACTTAAGCATAGACCATTCCACCAACTACAAATAACTAGACCAACACACATAGGTATATATATATATATATATAAGTATGTATATATATGTATGTATATCAATGATAGCAAAAATTTTAAATCACTTGATACTCAAGTATAATGCCGTAATTACTAGTGGAATGGTTGCAAAGGCAGGTATGGTAGCGTGTCAGTAGTGAATTCTCAAAATTGTTGATGCATTTTAGCGCACTTTATCCCCACATCTGCTCCCCGATAGCGGCTACTGATGGCTGTTGGATTTTGCGCAGCTGCCGTTTGCTTTTCCACATGCGCCATTTGCAACAGGCAGCTCTAATTCATATCATTATGCGAATTTTGTGTCACACGTGACAGCAAGTCTGTCGGTAAGACAGGCAGGCAGCACAATAGGCGCACAACCATACATACAAACAGCCAACAGAGGGTTGCACGAAAATGTGATGTCTACTCAGACGTTCAGACAGTGATATGTATTGTTTGAGAAAAAAGCTGCGCAATTTCCTTTGTACACAACCGAAAGCCCCATTTTCTAAGTTCTGTTGCCACACGAAGTTAATTTATTGCGAGCTGTCAAGCGCCACACAAAATAGGCGCGCAATACTTTTAAGCCTGTCTGTATGTACAGCATTTGTATGCATAGAATAAAGTATGACAAAAGCTGAACAGCTGTACTTGAATATATTTTAAGCTCGACAGGATGTATTTAGGGGTTCTTCGTTGCCTTTTGCTTTTATTATACCTGGTTAGAAATCGGTCATTTTATAACTTTGCATGGTCATACCAACTGTGCTTTGATTTTCAAAATATCAGCGAGTGAAGAAGGAGGTATGGGGAACAAGACATTACTATTTATTCAAGGGTTTTCTTCGCGTTTGAGTGCGTTCAACATATTTTCTTCTATTCACAACTTTTCTGTAACCGATAAAAAAGGACTTTTTATATCTTGCTCTACTGCTTTGCAACTGTAATCGACGAAAAATGTTGTGTGCCATATAAACTTGACAAACACCGAAAATATGCACACATAATACTGTATTTATCAGCGATAAACGACATGTAAATGCAACAGCTTTTGCAGAGAGACAACAGGCGCCATTGTCTTTGTTGGTGCAGCTGAATGCAATGCATATTTGTAATGTATTAGTGGCGACTTGAACCTGCTGCTTAGTCGCAATCCGCAGTGTCAGAGCATGCTGGACCATGTTGCACGGGCATAGCGTTGGTCAACTTCTGCGGCTTTAACACCGAATAGATAGTTATAAAGCAAAAAGCAAAAGAAAAAAAAACGTGTTGTTTTCGCGAATGAAACTTAGCGAATAAATGAATTAATGCATTGTTACTCTTTTACGGTTTCTACCGAAACATTTTGCTCTAGACTTAACTTCGTTTTGTCAATATTATTTTTTTTTTGCGGTGGCAGTTGCCTTGAAAAGCGCTGGCTACCTCAACGTGTTGCTGCTATAGCTGCAACCGTCGAATACATACGTACATATACAAGCAAATGTATGCTTGCGTTGGCTATTTCAATGTGGAATTTTTGCATTCTCAAATCTTTCAATTTTGCAAATTCTTTCTGCAGTCTCACAGCAGCCGCCTAAACAGTTAAACTCAAAGTACAATGCTGTGGTCCGTAACTTGTTTACCGTTTTATGCTGAATTCAATGAGCCAGCAACTTTAGAAGTTCCATAAAAAAGCACACACACATGTTGAACTATATGCGAGTAAATATGTAAACGTGTTTATGCAAAATAACGTGTACCCGCAAATGAATGGACAGAACAGACGAGGTCTATAAAATGCAGCTAGTCAGCATGCTGTCAAGTTGTCAGAGCGTCGCGGCTCCCACCAGACAATTCGGTCTGCAGCGCCCAGCTGGCTAGCTGGCTAACTGGTCGCACAAGTTGCTATTGTTGCTGCCGCGACGGTATTTTGCTAAGCGCAACCATTAAGCGTTAATTGATTTGGGGTGCTTAACCAGCAGCTTTCTTATTTTTTCGCATTAGAAATATAACGAGCAAAATAAACCGAAACTTTAAACAGCTGCAAGAACTCAACTAACTCATTGCGATTTC